CGACCTTACAATATTCTCAAGTAATGCAGAAAATGCATTTAATCAAATTCAATATCCCTTTATGATAAAAGCTCCAAGGCAGTAACAATAGAAGGAATATACATCAGTATATAATAAAGGTATTTCAGCAAGCCTGTAGTCATTAGAAGAGAAGGAAGAAATCTTAATTGGACAGGGAAGAAAGTCCAATACAATATATGCGACATGCAAACAGAAGGGAGGACTAGAAGACAGCACAAGATAAGGGAGGGAAACAAACAAGAACAAAATATAATGAAACATATGTTTACTTCTATGATCAGGAGTGGTCCTTAGAAGTATAACTACTTTTTTATTTCTTTTTCTTAACTAATATGTAACTGTATGTGAGATACAGTGTCGTATTTTCCACTCATGTAATTCACACAGATCAATCAAGAATGGTTAGTACTCTGTCTACTCACTATTTCTCAGTATCTGGAATCCTTGAGATCTTCTAGCTCCTCATTAGATGTAAGGGGTTGCTGTGTGCTCTGGTAAAATACTTTAAATAGTTGCCCCATTAAAATGATATATACAGGAATTCTAAGAAGTAACTTTTGTTTATATATTATCAGAAATATTTTTTCACTCATTTTTCCTTCTATCATTTTGTTCCTGGCATTTCCACTCTAACCCTGCTGTACTGATGAACTATGTTCTTCAATGGTAGATAAATTCATTGGTCAGATACCAAAACAAGGACTATTATCATTAAATAATCAGATGTATGTGTTGGCCACTTTTAATTGTCATTTAACACAATCTATAATGAACTGGGAAAGGACTCTCAACAAGGAACTGTCTAGATTAGGTTGGGCTGTAGGTGTACCAGTAATGGATTTTCATATTTAGATTAACTGAGGTGGGAAGAGTCACTCTCAATGTGAGCAGAACCATTTCATGGGCTGGGTCCTGGGGAGAATGGCAGAGAAAGATCAATCCATTGTTCTAGAGCTAAGAGTCAAATAAATCATTTCTCCCTTTAGTTTCTTTTATCAAGGTACTTTATCACAACAGCAGGAATGAAGCTATGATAATTTATAATTAAAAATTTCAAACCTATGACTTTTTAGTAAATATCACCATTCACCATTAAGTTGCTATATGAAAATTCTGAACAGTTGAGGTAGAATTACAGATCTAGAGGGAGTCCCAGTCAAATGAAGCAAAGGATAGCAAGGAGCATTGGTAAAGATAATGGCACCATAGGACTCATTGTGATAAGGACAAGTCCAGAGACTTGCTGAATACAGTCTAACTTGAGCTATGAAATCATTACAGAGTAGAAAGGGGGGGGCAGTAGAAGCACAAACAGTTAATTCTGAGTAAGGAATTTGCTGAGCTTCTCCAATCCATAAATAGTCATTCTCCTCCTGTATCCAGACACAGACAGTTATAGAGCGGTGTGAGAACAGAGAATGGCAGGTTTCAACAGCAGCTACCCTGAGAGGCTCTGCCAGGCCTTTCGTGCACTGGCTAGATAATGACATGTTTATTAATAATTATATTGTGCCTTTTACTTGTGGTAGTCTAAATATCAGATGAAGAAAACCTTCTATTTGTGTATATAGTGGTTTTTATCCCCTCCTTTAGAGCAATTATGTTGTTTAGCATTTATTACTTTTTAATTATAATGACCAAATTTTAGAAAAAGCCATAACACATTCTGTGAACTCATAGGAAGATGAAATTATCAAGAATTAAACATTATGCAAATAAGAGCTCCCCATTCTCATTTTCATGTTCCTAATATAGTGATGAGAATCGGCTTTCAAAGACACTGTTGATTGAAATTGAAATCCCAAGGTTTGCAATCCTGTGTATAAAAGAATCCAAACAGTGCTAAATTGCACTGTGAAATTTAAATGTTACTAGAATTTTCCACAGTTCATTTCCTTACATATGAGCTGCCATAAAACAAACGTATGTTATAGTGTTGCTGAGAAGATTAAAATAAACAATGTTATAAAACTACTGGAGTTGGTACATTACAGGTATTTTCTTGATTGTAATATTATCCTTGTAGACACTGTTATGCTACAAGTTTATGCATCACAAAGCTCATTGTATTTTCTTAGGCCAATATGTCAGTAGATCTTATATAAGTAATGATAAGTTTCAGTTTACATATTTTATTTAAGTTATGAACATCACAAGTAATTCATTTTTATGTGATTATTATCTTCTTTTTTTTTAAAGATTTATTTATTTATTATATATACAGTGTTCTACCAGAAGAGGGCACCAGATTGAATTGTAGATGGTTGTGAGCCACCATGTGGTTGCTGGGAATAGAACTCAGGACCCCTGGAAGAGCAGTCGGTGCTCTTAACCTCTGAGCCACCTCTCATTGGCTTAGGAGGACTGTGGTAGTATTGTATAAATAACTGATTAATGAATTCTCTATAGTATTGTATTTTCTACTGACTAGAACTGTAGCACATGGAGATAATATCTTATTTTCATTGCAGATCAGTAGAAAGTAGAGAATTATACCATGTAGCAATTCAGTGAACTTCAAAACTACAGACATTATGCAATGATGCTGGTTAACAATATGCCTTTCTAACAAATTTCTCCATTATGGAAGGAACACAAAAAACTTACTGGTTATATTTGTAATCTATCAGTAGCAGAAAGCAAAGCACAACAAAAGTGTACTTAGTTGTCTGATATATATATATATATATACACATATATGATATTTTATTATAGAATTCCTACTCAGGTAAGCCTGTGGAGATTCTTTTGATTACATTGAGATAGAAAGAAGTGCTCACTGTGGGTGGCACCTTTGCCTAGATGGGATCCTGTGCAAAAATGGAGAAAGGGAATTGAGGGGCAACACACATATCATTTCTGTCTCTGCTTATTGACCGGATGCAATGTGGGAAGCTGTCATGCACTCCTGTCACTGTGACTTCTCCATAATTACACAGTATACCCTCCAACTGTGAGCTCAGATAAACCCTTCCTTTTTAATTTCTTTTGTCAGAACATTTTATCGCAACAGAAGAGAAACTAATGCAAAAATTAGTACCTAGAAGAGAAATGGAGGAGTTCTAGGTAAACATAGTGTGGTTCTTAGGTTTCTGAAGCTGTGTTATCACTCAGACACACAGTAGTTTGGTGCTCTGGATAACAAAAGCCCTAGAATCCCAGGGGAGAGCTTAATGGCCATTTTTCTGGGAACTTGGGAAACAAAACTGCTAAGAAAAATAAAGACAATGATGCTCTATCAGAAGAGGATTAGGAGGCATTCATGGGATGTTTTAGCAAAGAATGTGACTACATTCTCCCTGTGTCCTGAGAACTTGAGTGAAGCTGAATTTAAAGACAATAGACTAATTTGTTTGGTTGAGGAAGGGGATGTGACCAGACTTGCCGTTTCACATAGAGTGCAGACAACAAAGCAGCTATGATTGTTCAGGAGAATAACTCCACTAATAAGAAAGGTGGCAGTCAGCACCGGAGCAACACATGTGACTTCAAGATAAGATCCACTCATTAAAGGCTCCAATTTATAAAGATTCAAATTTACAGGAAAGGAGAAAGCCTGAACTGGGAAAGTACCTGAGAGAGAGTCTCCTTTCTTCAGAAGTAGAAGCTCAGGAGAGAGCTTTCCCAAGCTCAGAGCATAGAAGCTGATGGAACAGTGACCCAAGCATTCCAGGTTACATTTAGTGATGGACACAGACCTTGGCAGTGTCATCCATATGGTGTTGGGTTAGAGGCATGACAGATAAGGTTGTAAGTGTTGTGGAGTCCTGCTCCATTCCGTGGTTTCAAAGGGCAGCTGAGGCCAGGCAAAGTATGGCAGGATCCAAGTCCCTGCAAGGAGGTCTTCAGAGACCATAATGTGAAGCTGTGATTGTAACTATAGAGACTCCACGATATTAGAGATGCCAAGAACATAGGATATTTGCCACCGAGACCCATGGGCATGGATTGATGTTGGGCTGAGAGAGAGCTATGTGCACTGCAGATCAAAGAGCTGGAGGGTTGGAGCATATTAAAAATTAAAATTATCTAGCTTTGAATTAAGTTGCTAACATTTCAAGTACATGTTGAAATTACAGAGCTTATCATGAGGTTTCTAGAAAAATCCACATCTCTGAAAATGGACAAGGTGGAGTCAGTGTGTGTCATAGAAGGCTTTAAATGGATGAGAATAAAAGAGGCACTCTACTTACAACTCAGTTCATACTACCCACTCGTAGGTGGCCTAAAAGCACTGTTCAAACAAGGCAGAATCAGTAAGGCTGATTCTAGAAGAAGGAGTAGACTAGTAAAACAAAGAAACATGAAACTTACAGGCACTTTCAGTTTTGAGTATTTTGCAGATGGCATTTAGTACTTTTCTAGCACTATGCACAGTGGGTGTTGTGAGTAACTCTGGCCAAACAGAATGGTTCCTTGGAATCTGGCCTTGCATTCCAAGGGAAACCCGCTCTGAGCTTTGGGATTCTTTTGTATGGCAAGGACATTTGAAGCATCTGCTTTGCTGGACTTGGTGATCCATACCTGTAATCCTGGCTCTTAGGACATTACAGCAGGACCAGGAGTTAAGCTCATCTTCAGTTACAGAGTGAGTATGAAGCTATTGGTCTACAAGGGACCACATCTCAAAACAAATGAACAACAGATTGCCTTGAATCTTCCTGTGCTGTGGGTTTGTATCTGACCTTGGAGGTAGAATCAAAGTGCTGTTGATGTTACTGTATATGGCTCTACTTAAAGTTTTCATTTCTAAGTCTCTGACTCTGAGTATGGAATAGGAGCAGAAGAGAGAAATAGAGGCACACATTTCTTTCAGCATCTTAACATTGTCTGAAGGAGTTCACCACAGACCACCAAATTAGAGTTGTGTGACTTCACAGGAAGTCTTTTCCTTGTACAAACAGATTGAGTAGGCATTCCCCCAAAGCTCCCATTAGTATGTAAACATGTAAGAATGCCAATTAAAACTGTGGTCTTACCATGTGCCTTGTACTGCACATGTGGAGGAAGCTGGTTAAGAGCATTCCACTGATAATCTGGCTGTGAGGAAAAAGAAAGAACTGTTGTAGAATCACAGACTTCAAAAAAGCATCATGGCACATTAGGATATAATTATACTCTGTGGATTTTACTACACAACCAATACGCTAAAACAGTCATTTTGATACAAACCTATGCAAATCTTCCTCATCTTACCCCCCCCCCCCCGACCCTTCTGCATGTTCCTTACTAGAGTTCCTGTGACTTGCAAATTGTACATTTTCTGTCTCTGTCCTCCTCCCCTTCCCTTCTTTCCCTCTTCCCCCCCTTACTTCTTTTTCTTCTCTTTTCTTTCCTCCCTCCTCCAACCTCTCTCGTTTCTGTCTTGGTTAATTTTTGTGAACTTGATATAAAGTAGAATCGCAGGAGCAGAGGGCATCTCAACTGAGGAATTGCTTCTATCAGAATGACATGTAAGCATATCTGCAGGGCATTAATAATTGGAGTGGGAGGGCCTAGATTACTGTGTGCAGTGCCACCCCTGGGCAAGTGGTCCCGGGATGTATCAGAAAGCCGTCTGTGCATGCCATGGGGAGTGTGCAGCATTCATTCATGATCTCAGCTTGAGTTCCTGCCTCTAGGTTCCTGTCCTGTGCTCCCAATATGGCTTCCTCCAATGATGAACAGTGATGCATATGTTTAAACCAAATAAAGCCCTCCTCCCCAAGTTGGTTTCAGCCAGTGTTTTATCATAGCAACAGACGGTATCTAGAAGAACCCCTTCCTTTCTCTCCCTCTCTCTGTCTTGAAATGTGTTTGGATCTCTGGAGAAAACTCAGTATATCTTGAAAATTAAATAGAACATATTACTGTCAATAAATACTATTTTTAAAACCTTCATTTGCAGATAATAAGAAATCCCAGAACAAAATACAAATTTAATATTTTCTAATGGATTGCAAAAGAACCTGTAGGTATCTTGGGAATGCAGCCAACAGAAGTTCAGGTGGCAAAGCAGGACAAAGCTTCCCTCATGCTGATGCTATGCAAAAGGTAGTCTCTACATTGCCCAGTGGTTACACTACATGGATTAGACATTTTCCTCACTTAAATTCCCTGCTAAGTTTACACTTAAATGTTGATTATCAGGGAATAAGCCAGCTGCATTGAATAAATGATACTTCCTTATTGAAAGACATTGTACCATTTTCAAGTAAAATGTTCTGGTTATTGTAAGTATAAATCAAATTACTTAAGGTAAGAGTGTGTGTGTGTAAGATAATAAAATAGAAAGGAGGTCATGAGAGGAGAGAAAGAAATCTTAAGGAAGAAAGGATAGAGGTAGAAAGCCTATGGGGTTAATATGAATACATGGGACATGAGAGGAGTGAAGCATCTGAGAGCAGGGAAGCATCTGAGAACAGGGAAGCATCTGAGAGGATGGAAGCATCCGACAGCAAAGAAGCATCTGCGAGGAGGGAAGCATCTGAGAGCAGGGAAGCATCTGAGAGCAGGGAAGCATCCGACAGCAGGTAAGCATCTGAGGAGGGAAGCATCTGAGAGCAGGAAAGCATCTGAGAGGAGGGAAGCATCTGAGAGCAGGGAAGCATCTGCGAGGAGGGAAGCATCTGGGAGCAGGGAAGCATCTGAGAGGAGGGGAGCATCTGAGAGGAGGGAAGCATCTGAGAGGAGGGAAGCATCTGGTAGCAGGGAAGCATCTGAGAGGAGGGAAACATCTGATAGCAGGGAAGCATCTGAGAGGAGGGGAGCATCTGAGAGGAGGGAAGCATCTGGTAGCAGGGAAGCATCTGAGAGGAGGGAAACATCTGATAGCAGGGAAGCATCTGAGAGGAGGGGAGCATCTGAGAGGAGGGAAGCATCTGAGAGGAGGGAAGCATCTGGGAGCAGGGAAGCATCTGAGAGCAGGGAAGCATCCAACAGTAGGGAAGCATCTGAGAGGAGGGGAGCATCTGAGAGGAGGGGAGCATCTGAGAGGAGGGGAGCATCTGAGAGGAGGGAAGCATCTGAGAGGAGGGAAGCATCTGATAGCAGGGAAGCATCTGAGAGGAGGGAAGCATCCAACAGCAGGGAAGCATCTGAGAGGAGGGGAGCATCCAACAGCAGGGAAGCATCTGAGAGGAGGGGAGCATCTGGGAGCAGGGAAGCATCTGAGAGCAGGGAAGCATCCAACAGCAGGGAAGCATCTGAGAGGAGGGGAGCATCTGAGAGGAGGGGAGCATCTGAGAGGAGGGGAGCATCTGAGAGGAGGGGAGCATCTGAGAGGAGGGAAGCATCTGAGAGGAGGGGAGCATCTGGGAGCAGGGAAGCATCTGAGAGCAAGGAAGCATCCAACAGCAGGGAAGCATCTGAGAGGAGGGGAGCATCTGAGAGGAGGGAAGCATCTGAGAGGAGGGGAGCATCTGAGAGGAGGGAAACATCTGAGGGCAGGGAAGCATGTGAGAGGAGGGGAGCATCTGGGAGCAGGGAAGCATCTGAGAACAAGGAAGCATCTACCAGCAGAGAAGAACCTGAGAGGAAGAATACCAGGAAGAGGGAAACAGGTAAAGAAGGGGCAGACATGGATGTGTTTATGAAAATATAAAATAATCCTTTACATTGTATATTAAATTCAAAATTAATAGAAAGGTGACATTGCTACATTTTTAAAATTAACATCAGTATTTACTCATCACAGTAGTCTACTTTTAATATATTGTATTACACTTAACTTCCTTGCATTTAATATGCTCATCATGAAACCTGCTTCTTTGAAAGTGCACCAGTTCCATTAACTCTGGAACTCCACTGAAGAACACCTGGGATTTCACTAGTCATATGCATGGCATTTAGAAATATGTATGCCTTGGAAGGCAGGTACATTCCATTATGGCCCTTCAAAGAAAAAAGCTTCAGAACAATTTGCCTATATTTACAAAGTAAGTAGTTAAACTCACAATTCTACCAAGATAAATATTATAAGAAAAAATCAGAAGAACTCTTATTTAATAAATAGTCCCTGGGTAATTCTTTACTACACTTAAGCTAAAAGGAATTTCTAGTAGTTTCTATCTCCTTATAAGAATGTATGGAGATGATTTCATCCCCAGTAATACCTCTTAAATACTGAGTGTCAATCACCAGAATTCAAAAGAGCTAGCTGTTTGAAAAAAAAAAAGAAGGAAACTAAAAAAAGAACACACATATACTTGGCAAAGGCAAAGGTTCTTTGTTCTAACCTATGTCTGAGAATTCAGTCTATCCAGCAGGAACTGAGAACTTATTTTTCGTGCTACGTATTTAAATTAGATTTTTAAAGTTACTATCTGTGCTTTTCCAAACTAAAGCATTCTTGGTTTCGGTTCATGAATATTCCAGTGGATATAGAGATACCTATGATTATAATTTCATCTTTGGTTGTTCAGAGGGCCAGTTTACCAATCTTTATTCTTGAACACACATTAGGAGAGCAGACGTAAAGCAGCGTGTATGCTTTTAAAACTTGTCCTTACTTATTATTTTGTTCTATCTTCCATCATGGACCACTGGCCAGAGTCAGTGTATTCATTGGGGGGGGGGGGGGTTAATGTCTGAACACTATTTCAAGTTCTAAAACACAGCTAACTGGAAATAGATCCTAAGTGAAGCCACTAAATTCCATATACCACACATATTTCATGTAGCATTTGGTGATGTGACAGTTGCAGTTATTCAATTAGAAAAAAAGGGTAAAATGTAAATTAAGGACAGTAATGATAGAGTCATCCAAACACAAAAGAGATGAGCTCTTTGGTATTTGAACCAATGTATATCTGCCACAGTATGCCTCAAACCTGAACTAACTACTTATCCAGATACTTGTATTTTCTGGGAAGGAAGACCAAACTTTACAGTTCAATTTGCAGATGGTCTCTTTCCTATGATGTAGTAACAAAGTCCACTTGGTAAGCTTGAGAGAGAGACTAAGGTAGTGGGAGGATGAAGCTAATGACTATAGGCAAAATGTCCTCTACACAAAGATGGGAGAAGTCAAGCTAGCCTGATTGCTGGTGAGTACATAAATAAGAAGGATTCTTTTTTAAATGAAACTTCCTGGGACCTGCAGGATGACTTAGTAGGTAAAGGTGTCTGCCTCTAAGTCTGAATACCTGAGTTCAACGTCCAAGATCCACAAAGTGGAAAAAGAAAATCAACTCCTGAAAGTGCTCCTCTGATTTCCACAAAATCTATGTGATTTCTACACATACACATAGAAATAAATAAATGCCATTAAATAAAAACAAAACACTACACTTACTGGTGAGCAGCTACAGTGGAATGAAATGGTTCTACAGCTACCATTCTCTGAAATGGTCCAGAGTTTGAGTTAATAGTGTTGTAGAAATCCACCATATCTACATGAGACTCTCGAGACTCATTGCTGACAGAACTTCACACCAGAGTAATCCAGTTGCCACTCTGTTGACCGAGTAATCCTGGGTAAAGCTACTTAGCCCATCTGAAATTCAATTCCCTCTTTTATGAATCCTTCTATGAACAGTGAGGCTGAAATAACCCATCTCCATTTTTCCCATCAAATTTTAAAATGGAATAACCCTAACTAAATAAGAAAATCTTTATTTTTTAATTGAAAGACATACAGTCATGTCCAAAGGAACATGAACAGTGATCCCTGTGTTCCCCCCCCCCCCAATGATCACGCTGGCTCTTACCTGCTGCTTGTGGCTTTCCACCTTTGTTCTCATCTCTGCATGGCTGCACCTGCCTTTATACTTCTTTGAGCCCTCCAAAAGGGAAGAGCTCCCAATTGTCAAGGCATCCTGAAGAGCCTGTGTCAAAGATGAAGCACACTGTTGATGACCTTAGTAGTTCTTTCATAACTGTTACAACCCCTCCAGTACAAGAGGAAGCCTTTCTTTTCTAATGCTGAGTAGCTATGAGGCTGACTTGCTGTTTTTTCTTTTTACTTTTCTGAACATTTTCCAAGTCTCTGTCTTCCCCATGATGATAGTGTGCTGTTATTCAACCTTCATCATGTTGAAGGGCATTACTGCTGGCTGTTCTGTCACCTTGCTAAGAAAAGACAAGAGCAGAGTGAGGTCCTTCTCTGCAGAGTCTCTGTTTCCCTCTAGAGTAGTTTCTGTCTGTGTTACTCAAATTTTGGAGCATCAAAGAGAGCAGATATATGTTGCTAGGCACTGTCTTTAGCTCTTCTGAATCCACAGGTCTAATGGGGGAATCCAAGAACACGAGTGTATAATCATCCTATATCTCCAAGGAAGTCCATACCATGTGGCCATTTGTACAACCACTGCCTCCAGGCCCTGCTGCGTTTCTCTTTTGTTCTGTCATTTTCCAGCACTCCAGTCCCTGAGCTAAACAGCCATATTTATATTTCATCAAAATATTTATGTGTTCAGGACTGTGTGGAATGGTATGTGCTACATACAATGTTATGATTTCGCCATGGGATGAGGAGGCAAAGAGAAATTTAGCCTTTACCACTAACCTGGAGTGCTTTGTGCTCAACCTTAGATTCTGCAAGAACATTAACTCTTGTTTGGAGACTTACAATTCATGATGAGTTTAACAAAAATGATTTTCAACGTTGTGATAGACACTCTCGTCCATGAGTGTCCTCAGCACCACAGTTTGACAGCTTATGCGTCAGTCAAGCACTCTAGCATAGAAAGGGTTTGTCCCAGAGGTTTATCAATTCATTTCCTCTGTGAACAGCTTACAAAGCTTAGTGAGGTCAGTGGATGTTCTCTGTGGCAGTGCACTCTCCCCACTACTACCCAGTATGGCCATAAAGGCAGGAAGGAAGAGCCAGCTTGAAATCTTGAACAGACATTGTCGGACCGGGAATTTCCTAAAAGTATGTCTTAGAATACACACATACCATCTAGCCCGATAGGATCGTAAATTTCAAAACCTTGCATGTGAAACTTTTTTTCTTCTTCTTCCAGAAGGAACAAAGTTAGTAAATAAGTTGGGTTTTCTCTTAACTTAGTTGTTTATGGTGGTGTTGGGGGTCCTTATGAGTATGAAACAGAAGTGGCACTCAGTCCTTTTGTAATATGTAAAAGTTACATAATTCTAGGAAATACTAGGAAAGTTGAGCATAATTTTCAGCTATGTGAAAGATAGGAGAGAGGATCCAGAAAGGGTGACATGAATGAATGACAAAGATAAGATGTGCCAATGTAATGCCCGGTAACCGCAACTAGACTACTTCTATAGATACTTCATTTTAATTTCCTGGTTTACCCCTCAATGCTATTGAGGAAATTTTAGAATGAGTCATGAATGAAATATGAGTTGAATCAACATTTGTTGGTGCTTTCCAACTGCCTTGAACCTGTTCTAGATTAGTCATTGTCACTATCAGTTCTGATACACTAAACAATCCATCCATTTCTGAAACGATGAGGGTGCAGGCAAGGCAAGTTTGCACAGGATGGCGCTAGCTAACTCATTTCAGTTCTTACTCTGGTTGACTATCTAACATTTCTGTAAGAACTTGATATTGGCAAAATCCTTGGGTATTTTCTTCCAAGCAAATCAACGGAAGTAAGTACAAGCACGCTTTTGAAAAGCTCATATTAATTACTTGTGGAACTGTCTGTTCCTGTTCTCATTCTTAACGCTGTGTCCCTGCTGAGTGAGTAGGTTAGCAGGAAGCTAAAGGCTGACCCAAAATTCTGGCTCTGAGGTTACACAAAGCATCTCCATATTTATTACAGTAGTAAAAGATAAAACTATTCATCATCAAATCCAAGTGTCTGAAAACTTCTTAAGAGCCCTGGGGTTTAGTTCCCAGCACTCAAATCAGTCTAATCCCAAGTACCTGTAACTCTAGCTTTAGGAGACCTAGTGCCCTCTTCTGGGATCTGAGGGCAGTTCATACACATGGTGCATATAAAGACAGACAGGGGCACACATATAAATAAAAATAAACAAATTTAATTCCAATAGTAATAATTGCAGTAGTAATAATGTGAATCTTATTAGATACCAATACCTATGCTAAATCAATGAGAAAAACCTCAGAAACTGTCACCTTATATCCAGGTTTTTAAGGGAGTTTCAGTTGAGCAGTGTGGGATGAAATCTTTCGAGGTTTTAAGTATTCTTATATGTTCTTTATTGTGAATCATAAGCAATGCTACATGTTGTGTTAATGTGGTACCTGTTAAATGATGGCTCTCAGGCCAAATATTAGTTATTGCATGTATTGTAGACTTACTGATCTATTCATCCTTTCACTGTTCAGTAAACATTTAAAGAACAAAGACCCTATTCTAGACACTCAAGAAACTTTAATGACCAAAGCAGAAAATATCAGAGCATCAGAGCAGCATGTTCACCTGTAGCAGGCTTTTTTGGGATCTGTAACAGGCTTTTTTTTTCTTTTACTAAGTCTTTTATCTATGAAGATACATAGTAAAACTGTATTTTATAGCTTCTTTGCTCTAGGAATAAATATTAATACATGATATGCTTTCTATCTAAAACTTTATTTTTTCTTCTATTTAAAGAGAAATAAGGCGTATTTGTGAATCCTTACATGCCCTATGCCCACACATGGTATTTACTGTGGTCACCAGGTTTCCTACCATGCTCAAGCCTAACTCAAGGAGCTCACAAGCAATAGTAGATCAACAGAGAAGAGATGATGAATGTTAAACATTATTATGTACTGGTAGCAATAATAAATGCCAAGAAAAAAATTAAAGGTTGTATCTGGAGAACATATAATTTTAATTGGGATGGAAAGAAAAATATTCTTTGAAAAGATCTTATTTTTGTAAAGACATGGCTTTAATTAGGATTATTTTCTCTCAATGATTTTTTATGTTTCTATGTACCAAATTATAAAGTCACTTGTTTTCTATAGAGACACACCTGTCTGGCCTGGACCTAGCCTGAGAGATCAGGCTGGCCTTGAACCTACAGAAGATCCTCTTGCCTCTGCCTCCCAGGTACAGAGATTACAGTTGTGCATCACAGCTGCCTATTTCTCTAAATTTAAAAATGTTCTACCAACCACAATTACCAATAGCAGAAAAACAGCATGCACATGGAAATGAAACAAAATACAAAATGCTTGGCTGTTCCTATGTACAGGGTTTTCATTGCTTGAGTTTTTGTTCTGTTTTGGTTTTTGTTTGTTTGGATTTGGGGGCTTGTTTGTTTGTCTGTCCGTTTTTGCCTTCATATGCAGAAATGAACCTGTTTTGCCTTCATATGGCAAATGAACTAGAACTTCACACATAATTGCAGTTATCACACTACCTCTGATTCTTGTGGAATAATTTTTCCAGTGGAGCATAAGAGGGAAAAGATGAACATTCTCCCTGAAACTTTGTGTCTGAACACTTTCTTTCTCTCTGAAGGATAAGAGACAGTTTGGAAGTCTTTCTTTACCTTTTTGTTTTCTCTTGAAGAATGACTCGTGCTACAAACAGACCTAAAGCAGAAACTGGCTTGTAGGCATCCTGTCAATGACAGTAGCACACATCTTCCCCGGGCTCTTTGAAGAGCATGGGCTGGCATGTAGTCCAAAGTTCTGGGATTGAGCAATTTTTCAGGCCATCTGTTGTTCTCCTTTGCTGTAGAAGGATCATTTCTGTTACCTTGGACATGAAGTCTCTAATTGAGTAATGTAGATCTCAACTCATCCATATATTTCAACATGCCTATGTTTACTTGGCTTAGCTCTTAGAAAAACAGCAGTAAGGGGTTTATGTTTTTGTGTTGAATGACTGTTCTTATTCCTCAGACTATTACATTAGTCTATTAATCAACCCACACATACATATACACATATATACAAACATATGCCCACATATACATATACACATGCATATATGTAGATATACACACATATGTACATGCACATATCACACGTGCACATATATAAGACGTACATATATACATGTACATATATATATATACACACATACACACAGAGAGAAACATATATACACACTCACATATTCATCATCATCTTTTTAAAACAATTTGTTTGGTCTCTGAATTTGGCTATTCCTTCCTCTGTCACCAGTGGATTCAGGCTGGATCCCCCGATTCCAGACATCTCAGCCTTGAATCTGACCCTAAGCATGCTTCTACTCATCATGCATGCATCACACCCAGCTTCACAGCCATCTTTTAAAGCAAGGCTTGCTTCCTCAGGAAGCTTTTGTGGTTGACCAAGAGATATGTTATTGTTCACAAACACCCAGTGCCGTCATATGGTTCTTAAAAACACTCTTACTGATGTCTATAACTTTGTTCTGTGTAAATCAGACAGTATGTCCTCGGGAGATGCAAGACAAGCACACTGTGCCTGCAGGTTCTGTTGTGACCCAGCAGGTCCTCTGCTGTGGCTATCATTTTACCCTCCATGCTTCACCTGTTCTGTTACCTTATTGAGTCGTTTGATTTCACACGCATAATGTTCTTTCTTCCTATTTGCGAGAGCATTGCTCTCCTTCAGCAGCTTATTCTCCTTCTGCAGCGCTTGCAATTCTTCCCATAGGCTTTCCTTTTCCTTCTGAAGAAAGAGAAAAGAAAACACGACCCAAATAAAAAACTACCAAAGAGAATTCTAAGAAACTGGCAGACAGTCAGGCCCCAAACTTCAGCAAACAGGACCTTCAAGGTTTTCTCTACCATGCCTTTGATCAGTATTCTTGGAGTGAAGGATAGGGTTGCTGGACGTATTTTCCTTCATCAAAACTTAGCAATACTATGGTGATCCCAGAGGAAAAAAAATCATTTTAAACCCGAATGCTCACATTCAATAGTCAAATCAGTCTGCAGAACATTCTACTTTCTGTTCTTAGGGACTGGTTAAGAACATTTAAAAAGCCTAAAAAGAAAACAGGAAAAAGTCATTGAAATAAACTGATACTAAATAGCCCAAGGCCAGTCCTGCACTATTCTATACCAGAGACAAGGACAATAAGTTTTAGATAAATAAGAACCTTCACTGCAAATAGATATTCAGAGCACAGCATTGTCACAACTATCATGAAAAGACAGAAATCCAGCCTTCCAACTGTCATCATGCCTCAGTGCCTCAGACAATCTGCAAGAAGCTCCCCGTAACTGAAAGCCCTGATTTGTGTCTCTCAGCTCTTTGTTTTGTACAGAAAATAGCAAATTTTGGTGAAGTAAATTGGATCCTTAATGAGAATCCAGTCTAGAAAAATAAATACTGTAGAATAGCACTCGAGAGGAGAAATAGCTAACTCAGGAATTCAAATGCTATTTTAGTCACATTCCAATATAGTTATTAAATTTAAGAAACCAACTTTAGGTATTTTATTTTCTTTAAAAATGAAAACATCTCATTACTGCTTATTTTAATAGACTGAGCCTATGCTCTTAGATGAGTCAATCATTTTCTAATTTAGCAAAAGTTAAAAGAATCTGATTATATTATATCTAGGAAAAGTTCCCATGTTCACGAGGAAAACGTTACTGAAATTCCAAGCTAGGGTGTAGCTGGATAAGGCAGTGAGTATGTGCTGCGTGACAGAAAGGGGGTTTGTCACAACCCTATTTCCTGGTTCACCCTGACTGAAACCTCAGTAAGGAAAGCAAACCTGGGTTATTGGTTATGTGAGGTATTGCTCCTGGCAGGAGAGAGGATATTCAGAGAGACACTGGTGCCCTCCCGTTGACTCTGAGACTGTTAAAATAATGAACGCCCCAAGGATTTGGGATTTCCCCAGGAGTCTCAGGCTGGAAATGAAGCCTGTTGCTAGCCAAAGAGATTTTGTGGGGTGCTGATATTTTGTCTGATCATCTTACAGGGCAGACTAAAACAGGAAAGTAACAGTATCTGGCAAGAACCATGCAATGACCAGGATTGCTCAGTGGTGGGCCCCTCTTCACCTCCATTTAAAACTGACCCTCATCTCAGGATCCTGAAGGTGAACTTGGAGGTCACTGGACCACTTTATCGTCATTCTTCCCAATTGTGGGTACAAGGACTAAATCTCCTCTCTCTGCTTTTCTCGATCGTTTCTTTAATTTGCCTATTCAGGACAGTGGCTGATTGCAAGTCAGGGACCCTGACTTTCACCCTAGAAGCTCTGTTAACAGCATTGTCAGACTTCTGCATGTTTAAATACATTGTTGGTTCCTCACAATGACAGCAGCAAGACTTCCCACGAGAATACGTTCACTTGTTTTTATTCTTACTATATTTTCAGAGAGCTGTCATTAGAATTAGCATCCTGCTTTTATACACCCCATAAATTCCAACGACTGAGGAAAACGCCTGCATCAGAAGAAACCCCTCTCATTGCCTGGGTTCAGGTCCCCATGTTCTCAGGGCTGACCTGTTCAAGGCTGGGCTCAGGATAGGGAATGAGATAATGAGTGAGAAGTGGTTTTTAAAGTGTTCTGTGTACCCGGGTGTGGTGAAGTAGTTCTGGCATTCCAGCACTTGGGACACTTAGGCTGGAGAAAGCAGATTCAAGGCCAGTTTGGGGTCATTAGCCAGTTCTGAGCAAGAGAGCTAGCACTCCTGGGAGATTTAGTGGGACTTTGTCAGTAGCAATAAAAGTCTCAGGAGAAGCTGAAAAGCCCTGAAAGGTTCTCACCCAATCAGCCTTTAATTTCCGGTCACTGAAGGCAACACACAGTCCCCATCCCCACCCCCCACTCACCCCGGTGCACTGAGCCTGTGCGTCACTCCCAAGGGAGTTGTTATTCACCACTTTGTCTTGCTTAACTAGAGGCTAGTTGCTGGCCACCCACCTCTAGCTGCCTGTCGCCCTCTGTCACGCTTTGTTTCTGTTCCTTCTCTAGGGTGTGGATATCTTCTGTGGCCGCCAGTTTCGTTTTCAGCTCCAGGACCTTAGGGGGGTCATCGGAGGGAGACAGTTGCAGACAGTCACACCAAGGTCTAGCCCAGTGCGCTTGGGAATACAGGCGCCCCACCCCACCCAGGAAGTCCCCCAAGGAAGAGCTCTTCCCTAAGACACATCAGCATGTTTGCATTTTAAAGGGAGCTTGCTCTACACAAAAGCATCCACTTTCCTTCCTAATGGCATCTCGCCTCTCCGCTCCCTTCTCCTTTCTCCAAACTCCCCCCACTTCCAAAGGATGGGGGAGCCAGAGCCCTGCTCTAGTTCTCCAGATGGTTCTGGCCTCTGGGACGCTGGGGGCAAGAAAAACTCGCAGGTGGTCAGGAAGTGGCTAGAGCCCTCTACTAAGGGCAAACTCGCTGGGCCGGGTATCTGCTATCGTCCTGTGCTAGCTTCCTTCAGTTTGACAATTGTGCCTGTGCTTTTCTCTGGGTTCACTGGCCATTCTAGGAAGCTGCAAAAACCTACTTTCTGGGAACACTGTCGTTAAAATTTGGAGTCAGGATGGATACAACAAGGTATCCAAACTACTGCTGTGGGACCCTATCTTCCTGCTTCCAAATTTAATTCTGAGTATCAAATGAGGAGGAAAATGGAAGCATTCTTGCATTACTGTGGTCTGTTTTCTCCATTCTGAATTATTTAGGGAAATTTACTTCCTGTATTCTGCCTTTTGTGAAAATGGAGTGCTTTCATATAATAACGACTTTAATCTGTTAAAGAAAACTTTCCCCCAACGGTTCCTTTCTGGCTAAGACGCTTCTCCATATGCATGTGCGTTAAAGAAAGCAGAAGGGGACATTTCCTTTCCACTCTGGCTGTTGTCACTGATTCTCTATGGATGGAAGACAGCTGATTCTCTGGTGGACTTTTCACTGACCGGACCTAAGCCTCAGTGACAACTCAGAGCTGGAAGCACTCATGGGAACACTTGCACAGAACCCAGGATACATTCTCAGCAACTGACTGACATATCCATCCTCATGCCGAAAGTGATGATAAAACTTGGTCTCTCATTTGCAAGTTAGGGATCCACAAAATCGCTTGTGATTCTACTAGGATTAAGGATAATCCTAATGATGAGTTTCTTACCTTCCTTTCATATAGCTCTTTCATATTTCGGAATTGTTGGTCCCATTGTTGATTGACTTCCAGGAGCTAAAATTATTAAGATTTGGTGATTCAACAAAAGATTTCCACACATTTGGTAGTTTACAAAACATGAGGTAATTGCTTGAACCATGAATGAAGGCAGAACTATCAAGTTTTGGATGGTTTTGAGGCAGGCTAGAAAGAGAGAATTGTGAAGGCATGGGTAGCAGAGGAACCCGTCACCCCAGAGTCTGGTGGGAGCCTCTTTCTCATCAGTTAGTCTAAGTGAAGACCTCCAATGTTTACTGTAAAGAATTAATATAAAGACAAATTTCCTTTTACATAGAGAGGGATCCAGTCAGATTGTTCAAACAGCCATAAAACATGCTCCAGGCCTGAGTGTGAATGGCTTTCCTCTCTGCTCCAGGCCTGAGTGTGAATGGCTTTCCTCTCTGCTCAGCTGTAAACCCAGCTATCTAGTAACCTCCCTAGAAACCCAATTTACAGTACAATGCATGTCTTAGGTTCTTCTGTACAAACCTTATGATCCACTGTTTATTTTATTAGAATACAGTCTATTTAGGGAACTTCAATCACCATCTTGTAACCTCTCTTATCAAAACAAGACTGGGTGGCGGCGGGGGAGGGGAGCAGGACACGGGACACATGACACTGATGATTTTTCTATGTAGCCCTTGAGTCACCAGTCACCAAAATAATATGAGTGGCTACCACTGGGAGAGTAAGCACAGCTCTCTTGTGAGGAACCCATACCCACATTATGGAGGGTATCTTATTCTTTCCCTGAGAGTTTCTTGTCCTCTTAACCCCTTGCTTAAGTCTAACTTCCTCTGTGATAGACTCCAGTTCATACAGGCTCATCCGACTGAATTCTTTTCTGGGGTGAAGCCAATCTGTCTTCCTCTGAGTGGTGGTCCCTGCAAACTAAAGCTGTAAGTGGTAGTGCTGGGCTGTATCCCTCACAGCACTCCTGCTGGCCATTTAGATGAACACATTTTCCTGTTTCATAACTGGTTCATGAACAAAAAAAATTATTAAATGTTAAATCATTACTTGACAAGTCAGCTAAGTCATTTATTAGAAATTTTCAAATTTTCTTACTTATTTTAGTTTTCATCTTTGATTAATGTAACCAGAATCTGATAAAACTTTGTACTTATTTTGTAAGAATTATTATTATATGAAGGTCTCTTTCCATATTTTTCTTGTTTGTTTACTATGGCTATTATAATGAATTCTTATGACATATTTTTCAAAGAATTTATCTTGAAGTCCAAACTCTATTAATTGGCAGCCATTTGCTTGCAGTGACATGCTTTAGGAGGTAGACATTTAAAAAATTAATTGTATTATTATTTGCTTGCTTCGTTTTTTATAATTTACTTGTTCTTATTTTATGTGCATTGGTGTTTTGCTTGCATGTATGTCTATGTGAGGGTGTTGGGTACCCTGGAAATAGAACAGAGTTGTAAAGGTAGTTGTAAACTGCCATGTGGATGCTGGGAATGGAACTTGAGTCCCCTGAAAGAACAGTCATTGCTCTTAACCACTGAACCATTTTTACAGTCTGTAGACATATTTTCAAGTCATCCTGGATGAAGGGACAATGAAATCTTTCTGAACCTATGGGTTTTCATGAGTAACAGTTTTTGTCATTAGGGTTAGAAACACAGTTAAAACTTTTTGCTAAGCAGAAGGAAGAAATAACCCCCTACAATCCTGGTCTGCATTTCATTTTTTTTGTAAGAGAAGTTCACAATTCTGTGTTTAAAAAAAATCTCAACAGTTTGCAGCATGAGGCAGACATCAAGAAGGTAGTTACCATGCCCAAAAAATATAAAACTTCTACCTACATGCAACAAAAACAAAACAACAACAGCAACAAAAACCTAGTCCAAAGTGGCAGCCATTAGATAATTCTTGTGGTGCAAACTCTTACAGTTACTTAGCATTCAGCTGTATAATAGCCATATTGGCATTATTCTGCAACAGTTTAGTGATTTTTCAGGAGGAAGTACTATCCAGCATCAAAGAGGAGTAGAAGGTGCTGAAGGGGAAAACAAGGGAGATGAAATGCACAGAATGATTCAGCCAACGAACCCAATGGGTGATGTATCTGCTTTGCTCTTTACCTGGTTAGTCAAGAAGAGGAAGGAATCCTAGTAACCATTAGATGAGGAATACAGCAACAGTGCCGCTGACAGCATCTGCTAATTCCCACTAACATTTTAGAAATCATCTTTTTTCTAAGGCAATGTGCCTTATGTGCTTTTTCAAGATTAATTTTTAATTTTTATTTTATGTGTTTTCGTGTTTGGCCTGCATGTATATGAACCCCATGCATGCCAACTGCCCTCGGTGGTCAGAAGAAGGTAAAGGATCCCCTAAAATTGGGTTACAGGTGACTATGAACTATCATGTGGGTGCCACATGAACTTGTATCTTAACCACTGAGCCATCTCTGCAGCCAGAAAGACAGTGTTTTAGAACCCACGTTCATTTAGGTGCCCAGCTCAGGAAGACACTGAATTGAAATCCACTGTACATAAGCTTTTAATAGCTCAACTCTCATTATATGCCGCTTTGCAAGGTCAGAGGTGATAAGCTTCCATGATGCAAGAGGTGAAAATATCAACCCTTGGGAATGTAGGGTTATAACTGCCACATTCCTAGCATCAACACCTTTTCATTCATCATAGCACAAACCATGATTTCTAAAAGCTTTCTCTTCTTAAAGCAGTGTAGTCCAGTATTCTAGAGATACATACTGTGAATTGATGACAGAGATAAAAGAAATTAAGGATACCTTGTTTTATTCTCAGGCTTAATACATGGCTGTGTGGTTTTATCCCATATGTTCACATTACCTCCTGCCTCTGTTTTTCCAAGCGCTTTATCTTTTGTTCAAGAGAATTTGTCAAGTCCTTTCTTCTGGATGGAACACCCTTGAATTAAAGAAAGCAAAAGGTTGAGATTAAATAGTTTATAAAATAAAGAGAAAGCATTCTGTTCTTCAAAAACGTCATATCTAGCCAAATCTTGTGTTCTGTAAAAAAAAAAAGTTTCATATAAGGGTAGGAGATAGGTGTCTTTTTGATACAGCATATGCTTAGTGTGCACAAGGTACCAAGTTTGAGTCCCAGTACTTAATAGATCGCAGTAACAAGCTGTTGTATCAGTGTAATACATTATCGACTATTCATTTATTTTAATTACTTACTAAAACAACCCACCAATAAACTGTAAGTAAGCAAGACTAATACATACAGTTAAAATGCATCAAACTGATAACAAATTATGAATAAATTTACTGCCTCTTTGGCCATAGTACAAATATTTTACAGAAGTGGACAGAGATTATATGTCTGTGTGTATTTTACTCAGCCTTTTTAGGCAGGGTACTAGAATACCAGTTTAGACTAGTAATAAATTATGACATAATGAGAACTAATAACTTTTGTCTTCAGTTACCTTTCCCCCAGGGAAGGGGTTAAAGTTCTAGAAACTTCCTGCCATCTCGCAAATGGACCAGCTCCAGGAAAGCTCACAGGAAAAAAATTGCTTCCTTGCTGTAACTCACTAGTCTATGCACATCCCATCCAAGTTGTTAAGGAACTCAATGAACTGGGTGATCAGTCCTGAATTCTATGCTCAGTTTCAGGCACAATAGTTACCATGAACCACACCCCCTAAAGCCATTCATGAACAACTAAGAAACATTATCCAGACTTATGGGTCTTCATCAAAAGTGGTAGAAGGAAGCAACTATTTGGCAATCATTTTGGGATTTCAAGGACTTTTCTCATTGGAAACAATGTATACAACTAGTTTTCTAACTTATTTACATCTCAGTGTTTCAGGGGTAGATAACACCTTACACAGAATTGATGGTGTTCTTTGTTTTTAAACTTCTCTTAATTTAGAGTTGTATTCCCATCAGACCACATTTTAAGAACAGCCTTCTGTTATTCAATAAATGGTGTTATACACAAACTCATTACCTCAAGAAGCATTTGACTAAATCGGAAGGGTGACGTCAAAACCTAAAGGGCTGCAATGTCAGGCATTATGATTGAACTTTGTCTTTTGGGGGATGATTCTAAGAAATCAGACCTATCGTGGATTAGAACTTATAAAACATGAAGTGTCCTTGATATGGAAAGTTGTATAAGCCTGTCTTAACACAGCTCACTCTGAGCTTAGCAAGGCAGAAGTGCCCTGAGGTTGATTCTAAACTAGTGATTCTCTCCAACAGTGCGACAACATCACAGGAGAGCCGTGAAGTGGAAAGTGCTCTGAGCACTATTCCAGTCAGAGAGATTCACAATTCCCGCTAACGGTAAGTTTCCTAGTATCTAACATCATGCTAAGAAATGTGAACTTTTTGTCCACTAAAACATCCTTTTTGTGATGCAAGAATTGTGAGTAGCAAACATTTGCATAGTCTATTCTATAGGCCCCCTGAATGTGGGTGTTAGTTAGGAGGTCTGGGCAGTCTATGGGGCTTCTGGTGATGAAACAGTACTTATTCCTAGTGCACGAACGGACATTGGTAGCCCATTCCCCATAAAGGGATACTCTCTCAGCCTAGACACATAGGGGAGGCCCTAGGTCCTCTCCAAACGATGCGAAGAAAGACTTTGATGACCCCCTTTCTATGGAACAGAAGAGGGATGGGATGAGGGTCAGTGGAAGGGCAAGGAAGGATGGGAAGGAAAGGGAACTGGAATTGATATATAAAATAAGATTGTTTCTAATTTAAAGAAAAAAAGATTTCTGTTCTAAATATTTAAGAAAATGTATCAAACAACCAGAGGAGTACCAGCTTCCAAGATTCTGAAACAGTAATTTTAACAGGGGGCATGGAGAGGAGATGCTAGAGAACAGAACAGTTAGGAAGGGTTTGTGGAAGAAATGTATCACCAGGCATTTCTCCAGAGGTTCGTCAGCATTGTACCATGGTTTGTATGCCTTGGGCGCATGCTAAAACCGAGCAGAGTCAATGAAACATAAAGTAATTCATATTTGGAATGAGTTTTTGTGGGTATTTGTTTTCCTTTTGGGTTGCTCGCAAAGGCATTGGGTGTCACAGTACATACAAAGATATTTAGCTATTGGGTTCTAGGAAGGGCTTACTTATGAAACAATTATTCCTTCTGAACAATTCCTTATTATTATTTTCTGTAGAACGCAGCCTGTGTTGAAAATGTCTGGGTATTACTTCCTCTATCAAAGTATTTATATCAACTGCTAAGACATTCAAGTTGTAATGCAGCAAATTAAATATCGGAAAGAACAAATGAATTCCACTTAGTTTCTCATTATATCTTGTTTATCTCTTTAAAAGGAATTTAATAAAATCCAGCAAGTTAGCTAAGTGAGTAATTAATAGCTCAGGCCACAGAGACAAATAAGCAAGCTTGTTCCCCGGGACCCACATAGTAGAAGGAGAAGGCTGACTCTAACAGGTAGTCTTCTGGCCTCCATATTCTCTCTGTGGCATGTGGGTATGCAACATTCAAAATAAACCAATAAAACATTAAGAAAGTATAATACTTAATTCATTGAAGTAGTGAATTTTATTGTAGTAACTGAACAAAATTATAGCATCAATTGAATATATTAACACTTCAAGTCATTTACTGCTAAATATTCTACTTGTAACCACATCTTTATAGTATTCCTTTTAAATTTGACATTGAATTAAGCTCTTCTGCATAAGAGCAAAATTTAAAGCACATGATGACATAGTGAAAGGAATCTGCAGATGTCATTCAGTAGAAGCAGCTTAGCCCAGTAAGTTCAAAGGGTTACCAGGGACCTTTCATATGTCAGGTAATACTGGCTACAATACAGAGCAGGTCTTAGCTGAAGAAGGAGCTCAGCTATTGCTGTTCTTTAATCTACTGTTGTGTTCTTGCTTCCCAGTGCCCACTTCATCCTAACACATGTCCTTACCTCCTCATGTTCCATGTTAATTCCTGCAGCACTCAATGTAGCCGTGTCCTGGGAAGACCAGCAAGCTGTTTTTCTGAGAGTCTTGGAAAGAAAACAAAATCATTTGTCTCTGTTAACTTGTGACAAAAGATAACAACTAGTTCTCATTAGCAGAAGTGACTCTATGCTAATCACACAGGACAAGGAGGCAAGGGGAGAGATTCTATTTTAACTTTCATTGGCTTCCATGTAACAGGGATTTCCCAGGGTGTCTCAAGTAGGCAGACTGTGACTAAGATTTGGAGCAGATTAGTCTTGCTATGTATGTAAATTGTGCTTCTGCCTTTAAGAGCAGTTTCTCCCACTGCAGGATGTCCCCCCAGAATGTCTGGGTCAAACCTAGCCTTTCTTCAGTGGCCTAACTGCCATAAATCTATTATATTTCCCAGAACAGTTAGGTCACTCTTGATTTTCTTCGACATCTTGATTTCTTGTTTCCTACAGGTATGATTTTCTGGCAGTGAAAGACCTGTATAGCAAAAACTCTGAGTCTTTAAAGAAAGAAATTAAAGAAGACACCAGAAGGTCGGAAGATCTCCCATGCTCTTGGGTAGGTAGGATCAACATAGTAAAAATGGCAATCTTACCGAAAGCAATATATAGATTTAATGCAATCCCCATTAAAATCCCAGCACAATTCTTCACAGACCATGAAAGAACAGTAATCAACTTTGTATGGAAAAACAAAAGACCCAGGATAGCCAAAACAACCAACCTTATTCAACAAAGCAACATCTGGAGGCATTGCCATCCCTGACTTCAAGCTCTATAATAGAGCTGTAGTCCTGAAAACAGTTTGGTATTGGCACACAAATAGACAGGTAGACCAATGGAATTGAATCAAACGCCTTGATATTAACCCATACATGCATGAACATCTGATTTTCGACAAAGAAGCTAAAAATATACAATGGTAAAAAGAAAGCATCTTCAACAAATGGTGTTGGCATAACTGGATTCTGGCATGTAGAAGAATGCGCATAGATCCATGTCTATCACCTTGCACAAAATGTAAGTCCAAATGGATCAAAGACCTCAACATAAACCCAGCCATACTGAACCTGTTAGAAGAGAAAGTGGGAGGCACTCTTGAAAGAATTGGTACAGGAGAAAGCTTCCTGAACATAACTCCAGTAGCACAGACAATGAGATCAACAATTAATAAATGGGACCTCCTGAAACTGAGAAGTTTCTGTAAGGCAAAGGACACAGTCAGCAAGACAAAAAGGCACCCCACAGATTGGGAAAAGATATTCACTAACCTCACATCTGACAGAGGGATGATCTCCAAAATTTACAAAGAACTCAAGAAGCAAGTCTCCAAAACAGCAAAGGACCCAATTAGAAAGTGGGCTGCAGAACTAAATAGAGAGTTTTCAATAGAGGAGTCTAAAATGGCTGAGAGACACTTGAGAAAGTGCTCAACATCGCTAGCCATCCTGGAAATGCAAATCAAAACAACCCTGAGATACCATCTCACTCCTGACAGAATGGCTAAAATAAAAAACACCAATGACAGATTATGCTGGAGAGGATGTGGGGGAGAGGGGAACACTCCTACACTGCTGGTGGGAGTGCCGACTTGTACAGCCACTCTAGAAATCAGTATGCAGATTCCTCAGGAAAATGGGAATCAGTCTACCACAGACCCAGCAATTACACACTTAGGCATATACCAAAAAATGCACATTCATACAACAAGGATGTCTGTTCCACTATGTTCATAGCAGCATTATTTGTAATAGCCAGGAAGCAACCTAGATGCCCCTCAATTGAAGAGTGGATAGAGAAAATGTGGTACATTTACACAATGGAGTACTATTCAGCGGAAAAAAAAAATGAAATTTGCAGGCAAATGGATGGCACTAGAAGGAACCATCCTGAGGGAGGAAATCCAATCACAAAAAGAGAAACATGGTATGTACTCACTCATTTATAAATTTTAGACATGAATTAGGCAAGTGCCAACATACAATTCCACTGCCAGAGTCTAGGAAACAGAACCTTTATCCAGCGACTGATGAAAGCAGAGGCAGATACTCACAGACAAACACTGAACTGAACTAGAATCCAATGTCAGAAAGAGAGAACTGATGGTCAAAGGAGTTAAGACTGGGCTGGTTTAACCACAGAAACAGTTGACCTGAACAAGGGGGAGCTCTTGGACTCCAGATTGATGGCTGTGTGGAAAGCATGGGACTGACCCAAAACCCCTGAATGTGGGTGTCAGTGAGGAGGCCTAGGTAATCTATGGGGCCTTGGGTAGTATTTATCTCTGACGTACAAATCGACTTTGTATGCCCATGCCACAATATGGGAGGCTCTCTCAGCTGGGACTCTTGGCCCTGCCCTGGATGAAATGACAGTTACTGGATATACACCATAGAAGGCCTCACCCTCCTTGATGATCCGAGTGGAGATTGGGTGGAGAACTGGGGGACCTGGTGGGGAGGGTGGGGGGGAGGGGAGGGAGAGGGACCTGGGATTGACATGTGAAACAAGATTGTTTCTAACCTAAATAAAAAAAATGAAATATCTTATGCCAATCAACATATTTAAGAACCAGTTGATCAAGATCTAACTCACCAACTCCAACACCCCATGTTAATAGCCATGTTGTCATCTCAGTTGGGGATGTTTCAGAGTCACCCCTGTTTATATGTGTCTAAACCTATTTCCCGACTCCCTCATAAGACTCATTTCCCCCATTGTAATTAATGAAAATTTGCTCTCCACATGCCAAATCTTGGAATCACCTGTAACTCCTCTTTGGATCTCAGTGACTGTCTTCAGTATCTATGAACATTTTCTAGACTGTTTGACCTCAAACAATAGCTTTGTATTTTCACAAAAACCTAGAAAATTCTCAGCTTGATGACTGATGACTGAAGTGGCAATGGAATAAATACGCCTTTTTATAATTTGCTCAGAATTGGGGCTTACACATTTTATTCATGGGAATACTTTTGAGACTATGTATAACAGTACCCAATCCCTGTTATTTGTTAGTCCCATTAGTCACTAGTGATGTTGCCTTATTTAAGATGCTTAGAGTCTCTGGACTGACAGCAAGCCCTCATTGTATTGAAAGACCCAAAGGCCTTCCCTGATTACCCTCCTGCACCCCTCCCCCTGCTCCATTCCCACTATCAATCAGCACAGTAGCTACTGTGAGACTTTAAAGCTCATGTTCCTCATCTGCACAGAATCCCCAGTGACATCCCTTCTGACTTAGAGTGGAAGCATAACTCTTCTTTATAAATATTAAAATGTTAAGTTTCCATATGAAATAATGTTTCCTTAGGGCATTGTTATCCATATAAGTCACTTCAATTTGTTCGTATTCATCATCCTCTCCCACTGTTCTCCCCATACTCCATTCCTCTAGTTTCTAATGCACTTTATCCTCCACAAATAACTCTCTCTCAAATTCTACCTCACATATATTCCATTCCCTTTGTCTCTCCCCTCTTCCAGCCCTTAAGTTCTCTTCTTCCTTTTTTTATGCTTTTGAGATTCTCTCTCCAAACATACATGTGAATACACACATAAAAACACACAATCAAATAGAGACATGAAACTAGAACCTGCACATGAAGTAAAACAAGAGGTATGTGTCTGAGTTTGGCCAATTTTTGTTTAACATGATGATTTCCAAATCCATTTCACCCAGAATGACAGGATGTTATTGTGTGTGGGGGGTACATAAAATTCTATTGTGTATTTACATGGTTTCTTTATCCTTCCATTTGCTAGTCATTGTGAACAGGGTAGCAGTAAACATGGCTGAGAAAGTGTCTGAGGTGTGTTAAGTTAGTATCCAAGATTGGTATAGCTAGATCATATTGTATTTCCCTTTTACTTTTCTGAGGAACCCTCACACTGATTTTCACAGTGGCTGTTCCTGTTTACACTCCCAGTTATAGTGAATAAGTCTTCCTTTTCCTAGCACTCTTGCAGAGTTTTATCTCTCTCATTTTATTAAAGGTAACTCTTCTGTCTGGGGAATCTGGAACAAGTTTCCCATGCAATGTGGGAACAAAGTTTCCCTCTATTTTGATTACACATTTGTAGTTTTTGCTGTGCTTTACATAGAGGAAAAATAGCTAGCTTTCATTGACTAGTCTGTAGTCTATGAAACATTTGAAACATTCATGTTTAATTGTCTCTCAGTATTCCACAACTTAGCAAAAGTTCCTTTCCTTCAGAGCATTATCCATTGTGCTCTCTAGGTATTTTACTACTCATTCACCTAATCACTTAACATCATGGTTTGCTACCTTGCTCCTCATATGCAATCCTTTTGAAGGGGCTGGTATTTATTGTTTAGAAATGAAAATAGCATAATACATTCAAGGTACAGGGGAGTATACCCAGAAATGGATCTGTCCCTGTATCAGCTTTTTACAGGAAGTCCTAGCTTGTCTCTGTTTCTCAGAACACTGTGAGATTCAGAGACACAGAGAGTTGTATGTTTTACCAGCAAACCAAAGGGGATCAAGTAGGAATGTCAACACATCTTTATGGAGCTTTTCTACCTTAACATACACATTCAACTTGTAAATGAGCACATACCCATCCACACTTCAGTTTTAGATCAATAATGTTTTAACTCTGTATAAATCCTTAAAATATCTTCCCGAATCTTGCTTGAGATTAAATAAATAAACATTATAAATAAACGTGCCAATATGAAATCTTTCTAAGGTAGTACCATGATCTTCAGTGACAATTCCTCTGTTGCACAGAGCTTTATAAGGTGTGAGGAGCTGAAGCAATATGTTGGCATATGAACTGACAACTCCTCACAATACATATGGCTCCAAATTTTCTGTAACTAAGTCTGTGTACTCAGAAGGCATTGCCATTGGCTTCAAGGCTGGCTAAGTGGATCTTAGACTAAAAAGGAAGAAAAATCAGTTCTATCCCCCAAAACATGCAACTGTTTGCTTGCCCCTGGATACTACTGAGTTCTGAGAAGTTCTGAGTCCTGTTAGAGATGGATGCACACAGTTCTGAAATGGGTTTTGGGGATGTTGGAA